TGTAAAGTTATATGTAATCCAATGTAATATAAAGAAGATTATGATGATAATAAAAATAAAATATATATATATAAAAAAAGAATAATATAAAAAAAAGAATATCTACATATTTATGTGTTTTTAGTTCACCAGAGCATGTATTAGTGAGAAAACTCGACAATAAAATGAATGATCATATCTTAAAAAGTGGGTAAGTTACATGAACAAATATTTCACCAAAGAGGATACATGGATGACATGTAAACACATGAAAAAATGTTCAAAATCATCAGCACTTAAGGGGATGTAAATGAAAACCACAACAAAATAATGTTAGAAACCTAGAAGAAAGACTAAAACAAAAAATACTGGCAATGGGATGAGCAGATGGCATAATGGTTACATGGCTAAACTCCCATGTAGTCAACAACAGTTTGAATCCTGGACATGAGGCTTAAAACTCATGTCAGCACATGTGCTTGTGTGACAAAAATCTTGAGAGGAGATTGGAGGAGAAGGGATTGTGGTGTGGCCATCCCCCATGGTTGGGGGGGTGTGGTGATTCCTCACTTTCTGTCTCTCTGTCTCTCTGGTGAGCGCATGAGCCCAATAGTAAAAATCTCTCAAAAAAAAAAATCTGGCAATAACAACTGTTGGGGAAGCTAAGAACAAAATTGCCTCTAGCATATAATTGATAAGAATGTGAAATAGTACATTTTGGCTTGCTCTGATTTTCTAAAAAAAGATGTTTCATATTTTTCAAGTATTTTTGAGATTTATCTAATTACTTTTAAAATGGTCTTGATGGTATAATATGGTTGGAAACCATCTCTTATCAATTTTATCTGCCATCTATTTCTATCTTTATCTATCTATTTATTTATTTAATCTTCTATCTTTCTATGTCATTTTCATATACAGTTGAATTACTGTTTTAATCAGTAACTCTGATTTGGAGTTGTGACCTTACTACTCTGAACAATCTTTTAATAAGAGATAGTCCTCTAGCATATGTTTTTTAAGTATTATTTAATTTGATTTATTTCTATTATTATTATTTTCAACTTGGCTACTGGACATGTGTGCTCATCAGAGAGATACAGAGAGAGAAGGAAAGCAAGAATGTAAACTGATCCAGAACTTGAACCATGGTCAGCCATATGGGCGTCTAGTACCTTAACCACCAGGCCACCAGCTTGCCACAGCACAATTTTTTTCAGGAAAGGAAAAAATGAAATGATTAGAGTCTGTTTAAGCTTCAAGAACAAAACAGTTTTAAGATAGTTATTATCAATGCAATGATGATCATAGAGATGTTAAGTAGTTTAGAAACTTACAGCCCATGAACCCAGAGTTTCTCAAACAATCTGTGATAGTCAACTCCTCCCCCTACCATTCGATTCCATAATCACACTTTGTAAACTATAATGAAGATGGATTATACTAAAGATGGATTAAAAAGGAAATTTAAAGGCACAAAATACAAATTGAGATTTTTTTATTTGATTCAATAAATATTAACCATTAAATATCTCTTATGGTATATAAAAGTTTGTTTTTCTCTGATACTTATCAAGAATCAAAAGCAGTTAGCTGATATGCTCTGGTTCTATAATAACCATTATACAAATCTTTTTAAAATGAATCAGATCCACAGTTTCAGACTTTTTCTATTTCTTTGGGAGAAGTGCAATTCTTTTGAGTGAATCATTGAGGGCTTGTTTCACTTGCTTGTTCCTTAAGGAGTAAATAAATGGGTTTAACATTGGGGCAATGGAAGTAGTGAGCACTGACACACCCTTATTAATTTCCACTTCATCTTTTGCTGAGGGCTTAATGTAAACAAAGATGCAGCTTCCATAGGTGATGGATACAACAATCATGTGAGAAGAACATGTGGAAAAAGCCTTTTTCCTTTGTTGGGCAGAGGGAAATTTTAGGATTGTCTTGATGATATATATGTAGGAAAGAACCACACACAGAAGGGTCATGATGAAGGTCATTACAGCACAGGCTATAACCATCTGCTCTATGAACCATGTGTCTGAGCAAGAGATCTTGAGGATAGGAGATGCATCACAGAGAAAGTGATCAATGATATTTGAGTCACAGAACTCCAGAGTTAAGCCTAGGCTAAGTGGAGGGACTATGATGAACAAACCTCCACCCCAACAGCAGAGGACAAACCGTCGACATGCTGTGCTGCTCATGATGGTCACGTAATGCAGAGGTTTGCAGATGGCCACATAGCGGTCATAGGACATGGTGGCCAGGAGAAAAAATTCTGTCGCTCCAAAAAGCATGATAAAAAATAGTTGGGTAGCACAATCATTATAAGTAATGGTCTTGTCTCCAGTAGACATGCTATAAAGGAATCTGGGGATACAGACTGTAGTGAAAGAAATCTCTACGAGAGAGAAATTTTGGAGGAAAAAATACATGGCAGATTTAAGTTGAGAACTCACTAAGGTGAGAGAGATGATTGTCAGATTTCCCATTACACTAAGTATGTACATGGCAAGTAGAAAGATGAATACCAAGACTTGAATTTGTGGGTCATCGGTTAATCCCAGTAGGATGAAGGTTGTTAATCTTGTGTGGTTTCTCATCCTGGACTCCTGATGTCAGCCCAATTAGTTTATAAGACTGAGACTTAAATTTAAAAATTAATATGAAAAGTTATGTTAACAATAGACACCATCAAGAAAATTTACACAGATTTTCTTCTTAGAATTACCAATAAATCATGTGAGTACATAGCTATTTCAGCGTTAACTAAGTGATGTATGTTCCATAGTTAATTTAGGGAACGTTCTCTCAAAATTGTTTTTGCTGTATTGTAGTCCTTACTTTTATAGCTCTTTTTATTTTGGATTTTTTTTTTTTTTTTTTACAATTGATGAGAATACTTGCTAAATTCAGTTTTAACCTTAGGAATAAAAGAGACATAATTTTACATGTAGTCTAATATCCTTTTACTTCAAATATTTCTGCAATACTCACAAGTCTATTATTAAAAAATTACCATAGTTTCAGGTATTTGCTTGAAATGTTAGGTCTTTAGTAAATAAAACTATTAAATAAAAGCTGAAATTTTTTGTGATCCGCATATATACAACACGTGATTTTTGAATAGAACTTTGTAAATTGATATTGTCATTTCTGAGTAGATTTTAACAGAAGGAAAGGAGATCCTTACAACAATCCATGTTCCCTTTCTACTCACTGATAATCTCTAAGCTTGTATGACAAGCCCGATTTTGAATTTTGTCCTTTATGAAGTAGAGCATGGTATTTTATGTATTATTATAACTAATGCATTATCTAGGAAGGTGGTGAAAATTCTTAGGCCCACTTTCCATTATGTTTTTATGAGCCTTAATATATAATATGTCTTTTATATCTCTAGGTCATTGTTGACCCACACCAAAGTTTGAGAACTACTCAATTAAATTGATTAAGCTCTAAATAACAAAAGAATATAACTTCTAAGGAAAATGATTACAGAATGATTAGATAAAGTTGAAATTCAGTCAGTTGCCTCACTATTGACAAAACTCTCTCCTTGACTAAATTCTATATTCGGGCTTTTCTTTTTCTTTATTATTATTATTATCTTAATTTTTCTTCAATTTTTTATACATTCAATCACATTATTTAGCTTACAAAGTGAACATTTCAATATGTGAACATTTCTCCCCAGTCTAGTTGATCAAATATCAACAGATAACACAACACCTCCCCGTCCCGTCATTCTCTGCCTCCATATCCCTCCTCCAAATGTCCTTCCCCAGGCCCCACTCCTCCACACACACCACATCTCGCATTCACACCCATGCCTTTGCTTTTTCAATTGAGACTCAACTTTTGGAGTTCTGTTTATATTGGCATTGTTTAATCTTAGCGAGAATCCTGCTATATTAGTTTAGTTGGAGTCCCCCTCTTCTCGATATCTGATCACTCTTTATGTCTAATCAGGTTTCTCATCTTTCACCAAGACCCAGGTGATGTCTAATTACCCTGGCATGACTTTGGCAAGAATTTACATATTGGTCAGAATTTACCTTAACTCTCTTACCATTCCAGTAATTTTAACTCCACTTAATCCCACTTGCTTCTTAATTATATTGTAAATACCCATTTATCAGTGTTATATTTGAAATGAAGCTTAATTTTCTTCCACTGCCTGATCCTATAGCAGTAGTTCCTATACCTGTTGAATAGTCCTACCTTGAATAAAGTCTTCCTTATTGTCTTCCATAGTGTCATACATTATTTATTTTTCTTAATACTATCAAGGTTACTGAGGTTCACATCATATTTAAAGTAACAAATCTATTCTCAAAGGCTCTATCACTTTTATGTCATTGCTTTTGCTTCTCATTTACCAGTATTTCCCATAAATGATAAATGTTTATTAATCCTCACTCATTCTAATCTTGAGTAATAAGATGGCAGTGAAATTGTTTTTAAAAGATCATGTGTAATAGCCTTTAAACTAAATACAATATGCCAGGCACCTTGGAATCAAACTATTCAAAGATGTCACAACCAGTTTTTAATATTTTTTGTTTGTTTTTTTATCCAAACAAAAAATAAAGAATAAATCGAAAAATAAATATTAAGCTTTACGATGCAAAGGCTCTGGAGCTTTCTCTGCTTCAGTTGCTTGCATTTTTAGAGTACTGTCTTTAGCAGTAATTTTCAATAACATTTACTCAATATTGTTTGATGTCTTGACAGGTAATTTTGTTTGGTGAAATAACTATTGCTAGTCATGGAATTTCGATAACAAGGATTTGTTTATGCTGAAATGTCTTACTTTTGACCATGGTAACAACTCGTCTTTTAAGAGTTTTCACTTTTTTGGTATCACTTATGTCTTCTTAACATTCTTCTCATTGAGGTACTAGAATAAAATGAGAAATCAAGTATTTGTAATTCTATATTTTGGTTACTAGTAATTTTCTATTTGGGTCCTAAAATATAACAAATCACCTTTGAGGATACTCAGATATTTTATACCTGCAATCAGTTTCTCAAGGGGTGTAATTATTCTACATTTCTTAATTGATCAACTCCCCGTGGAGGCTTATGAATAGTTTCACTTGGTTACTTTTATTTTTTTCTTATTGAGGTAAAGGGAAGAAAAAGTTCTACTCTGTGCCTAAGTTTTGCTGTTTAGTCCCAGAAGTTTGTACATCATATTAAAGAAATGAACTAAATTAATCCCAGAAAAGTGCTATTTAAAAACCACAAAGAGGCCCACTGATGGTGAAATATGCTGCTAACCCACTGCTGTTCTGCATACTGGGTCCTTATGAGGGGCCCAAGTTGATGGTGGTCCAACCTAAATGCTGGCCAAATGCGGTGGTTTGTATCTGCAATGTCATGACTTAAGAACTGAGCCAGAAGGACTGCAAGCTCAAGATTGACCTAAGCAACCTAGTAGACTGTCTAAAAAGGAGCCAGTTGTAGTCCCAGCTGGGAGACTGACATACAAAGATTGTGACATAATGAGAAACTGTCTTAAAACAACAAAAATAAGGGACCAGCAGCTGGCATAATGGCTATGTCGCTGGACTCCCATGTAGTCAACTGTGATCGAGTCCCGGACTTGGTGGCTTAAACTCATGCCAGGCGCATGTGCGTGCATGCCCAAGATCCCGAGAGGAGAATGGAGAAAAAGGGATTGTGGCATGGCCATCCCTCCTGGAGGGTGATTTCCTGCTTTCTGTCTCTGTCTTTCCAGTGAGCGCATGTACCCTATAGCAAATAAACCTCCCCTCCCCCAAACAAACAAACAAACAATAAAACAACAACAAAAACAATAAAGGTGGTCGGAAGGCAAACACTGTTTTGCTGTGTAACAAACCAGAAACCACACTGGTGATGGAAGTTCAAATACCACTCTGGTGGCTTGAAAAATCTGCTGAATATTGTTCATGCAAGCATACTCAAAATCCTGATGGGATGGAGATGTGGAGGAAAACAGATCATGGCATAACCACAACCATTGGTGGGTGATTTCTCTCACTCTTTCTCTGTCTCTGGAACGTGCACATGCCCTTTGGCAATAAAAACAACAATAACAAAACAAAACAAAAGAACAACAAAATAAAGAATGATAGATCATGAAATGTGCAACCTTAACAAATCACACTTAGATTAGAAATGAAACGTATCTGTAGTTTAGTTACTCTTTCTCAGTTCGTTTCTTCTCGATTCACACTTGTTCTTTATGGACACATGGAAGAACAGTATTCTTTACTATAAGAGACATATTTTCCCCCTCTATTTCATTTTTTTCTATATCATCTAAGCATTATCTTGCCTAGATACAAAGAGTCAAAGTTTGACAACCTAATTAATTTTGAGAGTAAGGGCAAAATTTCTATTTTACAGAGATTATTGGTCTTAAATTTATAAATGAGTACAGTAAGAAGTCGTTATAACATAAATACATCATTATATTGTAGAAAGTATATATGTATGTACACACACACACATATACAAAAAACATACACCCACATATATTATGTCTCTTTATGTTGAATATATATATTTTCCAATCTCAACTGTTAATGAAATTCTGACAAAGATCACTTCTGTATATTCAGAAAATTATGCTACATTGGGATAACTTTAGTTTTAATAATGCATAAAGCAGTTTGTCAGTTGATTTCAATATATTTACTTACTTAATTTAAAATTAATTACCATATGTGCTTAAACAATCTTTTTATAAAATATCAAAATTTTCTGAAATTTTAGAGGAAAGCATCAGTATGAATTTATAAGAAGTTTAGAATAAGTTTAGATCTTTTTATAAAATATCAAAATTGACTTAATTTTTAGAGGAAAGCATCAGTATAAATTTATAAGAAGTTTAGAATAGATTAACATACTTACTCTTCTGCAAGTCATGGCTTCAGGTAGTCGTTTATCCTTAAAGTTACTCAGGGCAGCAATACTTGACCAGAAATATGTCAGTGGAAATAGGTAGTTGCATTGCCAATCACTCATTTTTATAAAAGCACACTCACTCACTGGCAGAGATTTCTCTGAGTTTTCTAGAAGCCTTTTAGAGATTTTCTCAACCAGATTTCATCTCATGTGAAATGTAAGCAATATTTCTTTTTTCTTTTTTAATATAAAGGTCGCAGTATGTAGGACCTCTTTCTGGTTGTCAGAGACTTCAGGATATGATTTGTCTTGCATTATGGTACAGTTTATTTATTTATTTTGTAATAAACTCAATCTGTAACTAAATGAATAAACATTTCCTTGGAGGATCACAAGTCATTATGTTTTCTATTAAGTAATTAACTTTGGGGGAAAGAAGCAATTCTAAAGGCAGAAATGCAAGAGTTCTCAAGAGAGAAATAAACACACCAGCATCAGAAACAGTATGCCTGAGAATATTATCACAAAACTTTCAAATTACTAGGGACCAGTTTTCCTCATTTACTAATTTTATATTAATATTTATTTTTAATGATAAAATAAATGAGATAAAAATCAAAATATGTAAAATTATAAATGCAAAATAAGTAGCTACTGTTGATATTTCAAATATGTACATCTGGATAGTTTTTATTTTGTATCT